TGGTCTGTGTGGATCTCAATGACCCAGTGCAGTGATGGGGACACTGTGGCCAACAGGTTAATGCATCCTGTGGTCTGTGTGGATCTCAATGACCCAGTGCAGTGATGGGGACACTGTGGCCAACAGGTTAATGCATCCTGTGGTCTGTATGGATCTCAATAACCCAGTGCAGTGATGGGGACACTGTGGCCAACAGGTTAGCGCATCCTGTGGTCTGTGTGGGTCCCAATGCCCCAGTGCAGTGATGGGGACACATTGGCCAACAGGTTAATGCATCCTGTGGTCTGTGTGGGTCCCAATGCCCCAGTGCAGTGATGGGGACACATTGGCCAACAGGTTAATGCATCCTGTGGTCTGTGTGGGTCCCAATGCCCCAGTGCAGTGATGGGGACACAGTGGCCAACAGGTTAGCTCATCCTGTGGTCTGTGTGGATCTCAATGACCCAGTGCAGTGATGGGAACACTGGGGCCAACAGGTTAGCTCATCCTGTGGTCAGTGGGGATCCCAATGCAGTGATGGGGACATTGAGCTGTGAAAATACCGCCATCCTTTGGATGAGGACTACACAGTGGTGATGGTTGAAGTGGCTCCCCATTGGTTCTGGAAAGCGCTATGGGTGTCCTGAAGAGCACTACAATGCTACTTAATTTGAATTTATGGGGGGGGGGCACCTGAAACAGAACAGGGACGATGGGGAGACCATGCTGCAAAAACAATCCATCTGTCCCCTTAGCTTCAGAGTGTCTGACCACATCCTGGAAACTGCCTGAACATCACCCCCCGCATCGTTTACAGATATCTCCCACACTACCTGCACATCACCTACAAAACATCCGACTACAGCTGCTTCATACTTCATGGCCCTCCTCTAAACATGCTGCCAACAATTTGATGGGTTTTACCCACGTTCACATGGCAGCCTTTTTGTAGCCAATCACAAGGCACTCACCTTCCCCAGTCTGAACGGCCCGCCACTATTGGCTAATCATACAGAGGGCAGGGCCTCCATCTCCTACACACAGCCTCAGCTCCATGTGAGATACTCGATCCATGTCTCTCCTCACAGGCACACCAGAAATCAGAATTCAGAAAAATCTAATATGTTCTTGTAGGAGGGGATTCTTTAAGCTGGGGATTTCATCATACTACCTACATTACATTTATTTAGTAAAAGAATTTATCCAAAGTGATTTACAATTGAGAAAGCAGGGTTAGACAGTCCCTGGAGCTGTTGGAGGTTAAAGACTTTGCTCTGGGGGCCAACAATGAAATCACTCTGCCGACTCTGGGAATTAAACCAACAACCTTCTGATCACAGGGACAGCATCCAAACCTGGTGAGCCACACACAAAGCCAGCAATACAAAACACATAGGTAAAATGACCACCACTGTTCTGCCAGATTATAGACATGATATCATGTGGCACCGTACACTGTCACACACAGCGTGAAGGGCGATACCGACGCGGTACCGCATGCTCTCACACAGCGTGAGGGGCGATACCGACGCGGTACCGCATGCTCTCACACAGCGTGAGGGGCTATACCGACGCGGTACCGCATGCTCTCACACAGCGTGAGGGGCGATACCGACGCGGTACCGCATGCTCTCATAAACAGCGTGAAGGGCGATACCGACGCGGTACCGCATGCTCTCACAC